CAAACTAGGATAACCTAAGGGGTTTAGCTTACTCTAGGTAGGGGTATGGTACTCTACCTAAACATTGCATTAGTTAGACATGAGGAAAGTCTTAGGATGATGTTCCTATATATGAATATGCTTATGATGGTACATGATATGTATATGATGAACTTGCACATTGTTGATACTATATGTTCATTGCTGTGACTTATGAATATGTGTTGGTCTACGCTGTTGAAGTATAATAATATGTACTCTTAAATACTATGCTATGTGAAGTAGGATATTGGTCATGATACTTGTTGGGTTACTTGATTGAGTAATGTTATGGGGCTTTTCTTGGTCATTGCACTTGTTGACTTAATAGGGGTTCATGTGTAATTGTCTTGATTTTGTTATGTTATAATGAACTCTTGTTCATGCTTGTTGAGGTTATGACTTGGTGGTAGAGTTTCCTTGACTATATGTCCAATTATGTGACATGTATGTTTACTTTTTTAAGCTTAGCATTGTTGGTCTTATGATGTACATGCCTATGATTCAATGAATGTGTCTTATGGATAAGTATGTTTTTGGTCAATGTACTAAACATTTTCAAAGTAAATTGCATACTTATTGAAATGTCTTTTCTTAGCATGATTTCAAAGTATGTGTGCATATGGTTTCATACTTAGTACAAGTGGTGTACTAACCCTATTCCTTCCTTTTCCCCCACATTTTAGGTTCCTGTTGTTGAAGGGCCTTTGGTGATGACTTGATGAAGACTTGGATTTCTTAATCATCCAAGTAGGGTAGGCTCTCACTTTCTGAGGGTGATGCCATTATCAAGCCTATGATGTTGATTTAGTTTTAAGACTATTATGGTTCTTTCCTTTTCATTTGAGTACTAAACCTTGTATGGCATATATGTGGTCTTTTTGTATTGATATATAGGTTATGCCCAATTTGATATGCTCTTATTATATGGTTATGAGATGAGATGACTATTTTTAGACTATGTTATACTATATATATCTATGTGCAATAAAAGTAGAAGACAAGTAATCTTCCTATATGACGGGTCTATGCATACTCCAAAAATATATATATACTATGTGTATGTATAGTTCTATGTAAACCTCCGAGTAGAAGTAACAAAAAGTTTTAAATTTTCCGTTAAATTTGACCTATGAATGTAATGATGCAAGATAAGAGGCTAATCTTAGTCCTCAAATAGGACGCCGCCGCCAGATACTTCTAGGGGGTATTCCTGGATGTGACATCATGTTCACTCGGTGCTAGGCTCTAACTCCTTTTTAAATATATTTAAGCCTTAAGTGTATTAATTCATAAAGAAGGGTTTAGGAGCTTGATCCTTCATACATCATATAGCTCAAAAGATTCTAAGATGAGAATGTCCTTTCATCATAGACCCTACTTCATGTGAGAATGTCCTTTCACATAATCATACCATCACGACCCGCAAGTACACCCTAGAAGTTAGAGCATCCTTGTGTCGTCGCACGACAAATGAGAATTAAAGAAGTCTCATCTAAGCTTCTTGTTTTTTTACTTCATAATAAACATACTAAAAAGGTAAGAATTTAAAACTTACTTTACACACGAAGAACTCTTTCATAAACATTACACAAGCAGAAGATTTTCATTTAAAACATTAAATGTTTGCAACATCTACTTGAACCATCTAAGCTTTAGAGTATACAACACTTGGGACTAATCCCATACAAGACAATACAGTAAAGAATATGACATAAGGGACATGTGGATATTGAATCAATGAAGATTCACCAATACTTCATGTTCAAGGCCTTAGAAACCTATCCATCCCCCATGGAACATCAAGACTTTTAATTCCCTACACTTTAGTCAAAAAGGCAAAAGAAGTGGTTAGAACATTAGATGCACTAAGTATGCAAACCATGCAAAAACCATGAAAAAGGGACATTTAGTAATAATATGCTTTTCATGAATTCCGGTTAAAACATCATACTATAATCGTAAGAACAACATTTATCAACTTAGAAAACACGTAAGAAATCATGTAAGTAAAAAGTCACATTTAGGAGTACTTTCTAGTGAACTCACTTCACTGTACAATGAACTCACTTCACTGTTACAGTGAAGTTCTTCAACCTCACTTTAGACATCTTCTAGCATGTAATTATCCCACTTAAAGCTATCCTAATTCTCACTTGAGTGAGTTGTGAAGCGACCACCCATACAATCCCTCACGCACACCCTCAAGAAATCCTATAGACTTCATAGGATAGAATCATGCTCACATAATACATCAAAACATAGATGATATGTCATTCTCCTTTAAAAGTCTATCAAAGACTAACTTAAGTAAATCAAGAAGATAACCTCCATGATTGACCTCTTCAAGATTACCTGAATAATCAATAAGACTACCTAAGGCTTATATCATGTCCACATAATCAACCAACTACCCTAACTAAAGTCATTCTTAGGACTTATCTAGGTAAGATTGACCTCTACAAGATTACCTGAATAATCAATAAAGTCATTACATTCATTATTTCATTAAAGACTCATTCATAACATAAAGGACATTCAAGTAATCATCTTGGACAAGACCTAGGGACTCTCACTATCACCTTCTAAGCCTATTGTGCAATATCTAGATAGTGTCCCATACAACCACCTAAACTTCATAGAAATACTTAAATGCTAATAGGTATCCCATATGATGAGAATAGGGAATAAAAAACATAGACCATGGTAGCAAAACATGAAATCCAGTGTTCTAACCTACTCCGATGCGGGTGTTCTACTTTCCAATGGTAGAACTTGGACACATCTATGTAGGCATATGGTTAAGGAATATGAAGGGTGTGGTTTGTATTCTAGTATAATACTAAACTAGAATTACTTCCCTTACCCTAATCACTTGGTGCTAGCCTTAGTTCTCATAGATTCCACATTAAAGGTTCATAAGATTGGGTTCCATATCTAGTTCATAACCTATTCACATTTACCCTACCAAAGAGGTCCTCTTAAAGATACCTTCCAATGGCGACAAGAAGCTCATGATGACTTTCCTAAGGATTAATATGATTACGTTCAAGCCAATTAACCTTGGGTCCATCATTCCTTTACTTGAAGGATACCATTACGACTTTCGACATCAACATTAATAACCTTACCACTATGTTCAAGGTTTCAAATAAATGACCTTCTTAATATCATTTAAGGTCACATATCATTCATACATTAAAGAATAAGAGGATTTAGCATCGTAATTCAAGACATCACATATTCACTTTCATACATATATCAAGCAAGGGACATAAGTTAACCAAGACAAGACACCCTATACTTCATTTTAACACATATTACATGTCATTCTTAAGTCACTTAGGAATAACCATTATCATATTTAAGTCATCCTATATACTACCATATCATCATAAATATAACCATTATAGACTCATATAGTCATGTAGGAACAACCATGCATCAACCCTAAGCCTACACATAGAAGCACATTGTCATGCTCTACATGATTTCCTAACACATCAAAAGCACACATACTTTCACATTATTTCACATATAGATACATATGCTCATATTTCACATAAATCAGCTAAAAAATCATCATAATACTTCAAGTATTTCCGACAAGGCCATGATCATGATATTGCATAATGTAACATCGACAAGGCCACATCAATTCACATAGCACTGCCACCTTAAGTGGACCATACCAATCACAACATAATTAAAGTCTAATTAATATAAAAACAAAAGGAATTAGGGAAGCATACCCCCACTCACTCTTACCACTTTGATTTCAAGGCTAAATCATCCAATTCTATATCATAAGGCCCTTACTCATGGCCTTAACCAACAATTCAACATAATTATATCAATAATCAATACGAAAACATAGGGAAAGAACGGCGTCTCCAAGGGGTCTTGGCATTCTGATAAGCGTGGGGCGCTAGAGCCTGTTAGACAGACTGTGGTATTTGGCGCTCTGAGAGGCGCGGCACTCCGGGGCCTACCCCGAGGGGCTCTAGTAGATATGGTATACCAAGGTCTAGTTGACGGGACCTTCGACTTTTCTTTTCCTATTTTTATCTCCAAACCACCTAAACTTCCATGGTCCCATCCCAAACACTTAGGATCTCTAAATACCTCATTACCCAATAAATTAGTCCAAAAAATAGTCCGGAAATATGAATCAAACCTACTGGAGATCAACTACAATTCAACCATCAAGAACTTCTCCATTTTTCATTAAAAACTTCAAGATTTTCATTCAAAAAAACTCTATTTTGTTATAATTAATCAAATTGGGGTGTGTGTGAAAGGACCCAACACCGAATGATGTCACACACCGTGATAGGGATCACCCCCAATAAAATCCACGCAATAATCTTGGCGTTTCTTGGACAATTATAGATCTTCCTCTTCTTTTCTCTTTTCTCCCAAGCGCTAAGTATTCCTAATTTTTGTAAAAATTATTTGGGACTTGGTCTTTACCCCTAAATAACCCTTTAAACGAATTAGGCAATACTAGGATGAGAAGATAACTTTGACCTTACTAAAATCTGGATTAGACTTTCTTCAGTCCAACAACCCAACTTCTGAAAGGCACATTTCCCTCATACGACATTGGATTTGTTCAAACTCAGTGGCGTTAGAAAGATATTCCTAAGGTATTTTCAACCATATAAAGAACTCATCCAAACTTCGTCTGAGCTGGAACTTATGACCATTTGAAAATGACCAATACTCACTTTTAGAAGCTGAAATTTTTCCAGTTATTCATACTTATTTCCAAAAAGATTATTCTTGGTTTCTTAGATTATTGTTAGTTAATTCATGTTACAAGATGTTACTAATCTTTCACTTGGGAACATTCACTCTCAAATGAAAATTCTTTCACTAAGCTAAGGGTAGTAACATCATTTCAGCACTCAACAAACAAAAGCAAGTAATAGCATGCTTATACATAGCCTTATAAAGTGATAAGAAGAGAATTTAGTACCTTAATCTGCATTCTCTCCGTATTCAAAGAGATGTGGATATCTCTTCTTCATATCTTCCTTAACTTCCCAAGTCGCTTCTTTAACGAATTGGTTCCTCCAAAGGACATTGACTGAAACAACTTCCTTTGTCCTCAACTTGCAAACTTGATGATTCAAAATCTGAACTAGAATTTTTTCATAAGATAGGTTTTTCATAATCCCAATATCTTCTGTTCGTACTATTAAAGAAGGATCACCCAAGCACATCTTCAACATAGAAAGATGAAATACCAGATAAACCGCCGCTAACTCTTGCGGTAGTTCCAACTCATAAGCCACACATCCCTCTCTCTTATAGATTCTATAAGGCACTATATACCGGGGACTATGTTTTCCCTTCATACAAAACCTCATAACACCTTTCATGGGTGAAACCTTAAGATACACCAAGTTATCCATCTCAAACTCTAATTGTCTTCTCCTAACATTTGTGTAGGACTTTTGGCGGATGTGCCATTTTCAATCTCTCTTGAATCGCTTTCACTTTCTCTCTACATTGGTGAACTATATTTGTTCTTATCAATCCTACTTCACCAACTGCGAACCACCCTACATAAGAACAAATTTAGATGCTCGAATGGTAATTTTTGTTGTAAGCAAAATCAATGAAAAGTATGTGATCATCCAAATTCCCCTTGAAGTCGATCACACAAGCTCTCAACATATCTTCTAAGGTTTGGATGGTACGCTCTGCTTGTCCATCTGTCTGAGGAAAAAATTAGTGCTCAAGTTCACTGTTGAACCCAAACCTTTCTGAAAAATTTCCAAAATTGAGCAGTAAATTGTGCACATCTATCTGAGATAATGGAGACAGGAACTCCATAAAGTCTCACCACCTCTTGAAGGTACATAGCATAATCCTCAGTCAAATAGGTAGTCTTTATCGGCAAGAAATGGGTTGACTTTATCTTTTTGTCGACAATCACCTCAATAGAATCATATTGCCTTTGAGATCTGGGCAAGCCTGTGATAAAGACCATATTAATCATCTCCCACTTCCATTCTTAAAGTTCTATATTCTGAGCTAAACCTCCAGGCCTTTGGTTCTCCACTTTCACTTGCTGACAATGTGAACTCTTGGCAACAAACTCAACAATATCCTTCTTCATACCTTCCCACCGATATACCTCTCTCAAATCACGGTAAATCCTGGTTGAAACCGGATGAATGGAATATCAGGAGCTATGAGCTTTTTCCAAGATCCTCTCTTTGAGTCCATTGACCTCAGGTACACATAATATGCCTTGGTACTTTAGCACACCATCTCCCCCTTGTTCAAAAACCAATACTCTTTGGTTATAGACACACTTGCTTTCAAATCAAGCAAAATAGAGTATTGGTCTTGCTTCTCTTTCACCTCTAACAGTAATGATGATTCAGCCCAATAGGTCACCACTATACCTCCTTCTGTGGAATCCATAAGTCTGACTCCAATATGTGAAAGTCTTGCACATCTTTAGCTAAATCTCTCTTCCCTTCTTAGACATGGGGAGTACTTCCCATGGACAACCTCCTTAAGGTATCAGCAACTACATTAGCCTTACTTGGGTGGTAAAGAATACTCATGTCATAATTCTAGAGTAATTCTAACCTCCTTCTCTGTCTGAGATTTAGTTCCTTCTGAGTGAACACATATTGGATGCTCTTTTGATCAGTGAATATGTCAACATGAACACTATACAAGTAGTGTCGCCATATCTTCAAACTAAACACTACTGCAACAAAAGTCATGAGTTGGATAAATCTACTGATGAGCCTTTAACTGTCTATAGGCATAAGATATAACATTTCCATTCTGCATTAAAACACAACCCAAACAAATGCTTGATGCATCACAATACACCACAAAACCTTGAGTACCCTCTGGTAAGGTCAAAACCGAAGCGGTAGTCAATTTCTTTTTCAACTTCAGAAAACATTCTCACAAGCCTCAGACTATTGAAACTTTACTGTCTTCTCAGTTAGCTTGGTCAAAAAAGAAGAGATAGATGAGAATCCTTCAACAAATCTCCTATAATAGCCAACCAAACCCAAGAAACTATTTATATATGTTAAAGATGTGGATCTAGGATAACTCTGAACTGCTTCAATCTTAAACTCTAATCCCTTCACCAAAAACAATGTGGCCTATGAATTCCACAGACCTAATCCAAAACTCACACTTGGAGAACTTGACATAAAATTTTTTATCTCTCAAATTCTGAAGAACAATCCTAAGGTGACTAGCATGATCTTCTTCACTCCTTGAATAAATCAGTATGTCATCAGTAAAGACAATTAAAAATAGATGTCAATAAGGTTTGAAGACTTTGTTAATAAGATCCATGAATGCTGCAGGTGCATTTTCAAAAGGACATAACCCAAAATTCATAATGCCCATACCTTGTTCTAAAAGTTATCTTTGGAATATCACATTTTCTTACTTTCAACTGATGATATCCTGAACCGAGCTCAATTTTGGAAAGTCAAAATCACCCTGAACTTGATAAAAAATATCATCTATCCTTGTAAGAGGATAGTTATTCTTAATGGTCACCTTATTTAGTTGACGATCCTTTTTCCGTACAAATAAGACAGGAGCACCCAAAGGTGTGACACTTGGCTGAATGAAGCCTTTACCTAAGAAATCTTTCAATTGCTCTTTTAACTATTTTAACTCTGCAGGTTCTAGTCTTTATGGCGGAATAAATATAGGACGAGTATCTGGGATGATGTCTATGCCAAAGTCTTTCAGGAGGGACTCTAAGTAGAGCATCAGGAAAGAATTCTGCAAACTTACTGACTGTAGGAATTGACTAAAGGGAAGGTACCTCAACACTTGAGTCATTAAATTAGAACTAAGCAATAGATATACCCCTTTTAAACTAACTTCCTCGCCTTAAGATACAAAATGAAATGACGCTTAGGCATTGCTGAACAACTATCCCACTCTATGACTGACTCATTTGGAATTTGAAACTTGACAACTCGCGCTTTGCATTCTATTAATGCATAACAGGCATCGAGCTAGTTGATACCTAGAATTACATCAAAATCTACTTTGTCCAATTATACTAAATCAGCCATGGTGTTCTTGTGATATGATAGAAACAAGACAATCACAATAGACTCTTTCCGCTAGAATAAACTCCCAAACAGGTGTAAAAACACAGAAGGTTTCACAAAGCTTTCAAGAAGAATTTCAAACTGATTTGGAACATAAGGAGTTATAAAGGATAAATTTTCTTCTAGGTCTAATAAAGCATATAATCAAAAGTAAATAATTTGATCATACCCGTAACAACATCTTGAGCATTTTCTTGCTCTTGGTGGCTAGTGACTGCATAAAGACGGTTTGTCCCTCTGCTGGTAACAGAAGGGGCTACTCTAGGTGCAGCCCTGTCTAGGGTAGCAATTGATGAAGATTTAGCCCTATTTCTCGGATTCAACCTCATTGTTTATTCTTGGGGCTCTCTATCATGAATAGACCCTATTGAACACACTTGAAGCAACCTGTCTTGCCATTACGAAAATCTCCTGGGAGATTTCTACCATACTTAATACATGTAAGAGCCTTACTTCCTTGTTGTGACACACTAACTTGAAACAGAGCTGGCCTCGCCTTGAAATGCTGCGAATTCTAGCCACCATACTCACCTCGGTTTTTGGGCGCAGGTGCACTATAAGATGATGGTGCATGCCCTTTTGATTTCTGAAATTGTGGTGGACTTGAACCATCCTTATGTTGACCATACTCATTCCCAATCTTTATTTTCTTGCTTTGATATTCATGTATGTTCCTCAGCTTCTCCTCTTAAACTTGTTGCACATATATCATAATCCTAGATATGTCCATTTCGCCAATAAACATTGCATCCATACCTTCTTTGCTTGAAGCACGACCCAAACCAGAAACAAACAAGCTCATTCTGCTCCTCATATCCTTCGCTTTCCGGAGCATAGTGAGCCAGTTGAGTGAACTTCAACCCATACTCATGAAAATTCATGGAGTCCTGTTTCAATGTGAGGAACTCACGTACCTTCTCTTCCTTCAGTTCTCGAGGAAAGAACCTTAAAAAAAAGGCTTTTTCGAAGAAATCCCAACTTGGATGTGGTTTATCCTCAGCTTTGCCTTCCTTCCATTGGTCTAATCAAGTTCTAGCCACACTCTTCAGCTGGTATGTAGCCAATTGGACCCTCTCAACATCAACCACATGCATTGCCTCAAACGCTTTCGTCAACTCTTCCACAAAGATTTTCGGCTCCTCAGTAGTGCTTGATCTACTAAAACTAGGAAGATTCATCCTCAGAAACTCATGAACCCTCGAGGTGTCAGCCCTTTCCTATCGAACTTGTCTCTGTTGGCCGACTTGTTTGGTTACTACTTGAATTAACATCTAGATAGCTTCCTGAAATTCGGCATTTGTAAACTCTCCTTGCGGTTGTACATTCGGTGCATTTGGGACCTCTTGTTCCTCGAGATTTCTTCGGTCTAGTCGACCTCTGACTGCTTTTTGTGGAGGCATGATGAATCTAAAAACATGTGTAAGCACGAATTAGAGAGAGAGAGAGACTTTTTAGATATAAACTCTAATGCACAAAAATGAATATGTAAGAAGTGAGATTTTTCCTAAATGACATAGCCTCCTAATCATAGATGTGGTGTTTTTCACACTGATGACTAAGCCTCTACGCAGGCTTCATAGACTCCCTATGACTCTTGAACTCAAAGCTCTTATACCAAGTTTGTCACGCCCGGAGCCTACACTCTGGACGTGGCTGGCATCCAATGAAAATTATTGGCCTTATGTAAGCCCTTGGCTTGGTTCACATAACTCAGCGAAAAACTATGCTAAACTCGAATAAAGAATCAAAGGCATTCTCATAAGATAACTTAATAACTTGTCTTGGCAAAACTGGTACTTAAGTCTCAATACTGTAACATACAAAGTATAAGATAAAGGAGACTCCAAAACTAAACTACTCCATTGTTTATAAAACCTCTAACTGACTGACAAGGATGTTGGGACAGATCCCATAACATCCTAGAAACTAAACTAGTAAAGCAAATGAAAAAATGTCCTTTGGAATGCAAGAAGGCTAACCACTAACTCTGGAGCTCAATCTGGATCAAACGAGTGTTGCGTGCTAATCCTGGTTACCTGCGTCTGCATCATTAAAGGTTGCAGACCTACTAGCATCAGTACATTGAATGTACGAGCATACGAGTTGGAGTGCTAAACACAACTATAAAGCTTTAAATGGAGTGAGAATGAAGTTACCTTGGCTTTGCTCAACTCATAAGATGACAATTCAATATATGGCAATAAGAATATATATAATATATCTATAATACTGATAAAAACAGTGTAAACTCTTAGTTCATTAAAGATTATCTATAAAACTGATAAAAATAGTGT